GCTGACCTTGGCTACCTTTAAAAACACGTACAGTAAAGTTTCGACCATTTAATTCTGTTACTATTGACATTCCTACATGTATAGGAAAGAATTCTTCAATTTCAGTAGTTATTTCCAACCACCAATTTTGTGAAAAAGGTCCGAAATGTAATTCAGGAATAATAAGACCATGAGAAATAAGTGTAGGGGCAACTAATTTACTTTTGGACATAATTGTGTAGAGTTAAAATATGCAATTGTATAATAAACACACTGAGATTTTAACACGGGTTGAATTTATTAAGTTTTAATAACCCCTCAATTTACTATTTAATTTTCAAAATTTCGTGCAGATCTATCACAAATCACAAATTAATAATAATAATAGGTTTCATTTTTGGTATTGGTAGTCATCCTAAAATTTTATCATTAGATATTGTGACAAATATAATTATAGATGGCTGGACACATTTGATTGTTCAATAAGTGATCAATCAACTCCAATCACCATCAGTGCTAGTATAATTATTGGATCGATTATATTTGGTGCAATCTTCATCATTGCTTTTATTGGAGTATATAGACATTCAGTACTGTACACTTTTATATTCCTGTACCATATGATCTACAACCAAATTGAAAATTTGAAACAAAGTACAGTATGTATATGTTTGATTCTATTAAAATTAATGAAATAACATTCAACTCTATCCTTAAATTTTAAATCTTTTATCCTAGAACTAATTTTCAAGTGGCCTCTTGCATATTCTACATTTCCAAAAATATGGGAGGCATTCATTTTACCAACAATCATTTTACTGACAACTCGGGAGGTAACATTTAACTTCCACAAATAAAATGCTAAAATGGCACACCATGTGCTGTCAGTGAAATGATTGTTGGTAAATATGTACCCAAAAATATTGTTTTTAAGCCATTGAATGATAATAATTAAAAAATGTAAATTTATCTTATTAATAAAAAATCTATGTATAAACAGATATTTGACAATGATCATTAACTAAAAAATGTAAAGATATTTTAACCTACATTCCATTTATTAAAATTTTATTTTTTTTTTAAATAATTTGGTTCGTAAGAAAATTATTTTGTATTTGCTGTGAAATTAAAGATATAATTGTGATTAGTGTTGCTAGCCAACTAGCTATAGCCACAACCAATGATTTATATCTATCCATGACTAATGATTTTATATCTAGCTGTGACTAATGATTTTATATCTAGCTGCAACTAATGGTTTTATATCTAGCCATAACTAGAAAGTTTTCAAGTCAACTGAGTCATGACTGAATTTTAATCACTACCAGATTCAGCCATAGTTATGGCTAAGTTCAACATTTATTTTTTAATCAATTGGAAATTACTCAAAAACTAGCTTTTAAGCAAAATAATGAAAATTAATAATAAAATGTATGTTGTGGCAGGACCCGCAAACTATACAGATAGGTACTGCTGCAGCTGGGTCAAATAGCAAACAAGATTAAAATTTCGGACGCAAAATGATCACATATAATAATAATAATTAATTAATTCTATATTTTTTTTCAATTTGTAATCATGTATTTTTTGGCTTGTAATCAAATAAAATTTATTTAGATTGATTTATTTCACAAAATAAAAACATGCAGAAAGTTTTCAAGTCAACTGAGTCATGACTGAATTTTAATCACTACCAGATTCAGCCATAGTTATGGCTAAGTTCAACATTTATTTTTTAATCAATTGGAAATTACTCAAAAACTAGCTTTTAAGCAAAATAATGAAAATTAATAATAAAATGTATGTTGTGACAGGACCCTGCAAACTATATAGATAGGTTACTGTCACAGCTGGGTCAAATCTTATATATAGCAAAAGAACTAAAAAATTTTTTATTAGAAATGCAATGTTGGTGAAAATTACCAAATTTGGAAAGATTGTCTCCAATAAACCAATCACACTAATAACTAACTTTAAAGCTAAATAGGGAAATATTGAATGTTTGTCTGAAAAAAAATAGAGAGGAGATTTGATAGCTATTGACTAGTTCTAGAGTCTATTGTCAAGATAATTTGGGGCATACTGCAACAAAATCAGACAAAGTGAACACTGGTATTACATTTGTTAAGTGATATATAGAACTATCCATATATAAAAATAGTTAATATTAATATGAAATCAGAAGTATTTTAAAAAAGGAACAAGATGAAAAAATTGCCCCTTACATTTTCAAAATAAATGATACCCAGACACTTGAAGCTTATATAAGGAAAGAAAAATTACCTATGAAATTTACTAAGAAAGAAAAATAATAAATGTTGGAAAAAGAAAACAGAATGAAAGTATGCTATTGCCCAACAAAAGGCTTAAATCCTTAGAAGGAAATAATCTTATTACAATATTGATTTATTTTTTCTTTTTAGTCCTTTTAGCAACATAAATCATAGCAATTATACCCTATAAAAAATTATTGACTGAAAATATACGGAAAATGTACGGGAAAACAATAGATGAACCGTATTGTTTTACGGAATAGGTACGGAAAAATGTACGGAATCTTCCTGTTAAATGCGCTGAAATGTACGGAACTTGTGTGGGGTAGATACGAAGTAGGTGCGGAGTATGTGCGGAATGCATACAAAACACGCACGGAATACACACGGTTTTTACCGAAAACATACGGAATTCGTTTTTCTCGTACTAGTACGTTTCCCGTATGAATTACGTGATGTGCCAATGTGAAATTCGTGCGGTAAACGTACTAGTCGTGTGACATTTCCCTGAGGCTGCTTTTCTATATGTGAAAATAAATTTGAAATTCGTGTCACATGAAGTTTTTTTAAAATATCTCGTGATTTTTATAATAAACTCGAACTTCGTTGTTAGAGTAAAATGAAAGTACTCCATTAAAGCTTTCTAATGAATACTCTTTCATATCGAAAGGTCTTCTCTACACAAATTCACGACTATTCAAAAATGGTGTTACTTTTTCACTTCAAACCTCAGATTATTTCTCAATATCGCTTTAAAAGACTTGATAGTAAATGAGAAGGTATAGAATACTTTAAGCTTTCATATGGTCATTACTTTATGGGGGGTGTTGGTTAATAAGTTTTAGAGAAGCTCACGAAAAACTATTTTATAGAAATTTAATAGTTGCGAAGAATTTTATGTATATAGATTGGATTCAGCAAAAAATTTTAAAAGTTGTAAACTATTATTTATGAAAGTAGTAGATATTATAGGAAAAAAATGTATGACTCTATTATAAAAGAATTATATTTATTTATCTAAGATGTAATCATTAAAAAATATTATTTATACATATTGATTTAATTGAATCAATGAATATAAAATTATTAATTATTAATGACAGATTATTAATGATATTTTATTTATTTATTTATCTAGGATGTAGTTATTAAAAGTATTATTTATCTCAATTCATCTGGATGCAATTATTAAAAAGTATTGTTTATTTCAGTTCATAAATCAATTTACATACATATTGATTTAATTGAATAAAATTATTATTAATTATTAATGACAGATTATTAATGATATTTTATTTATTTATTTACCTAGAATGTAGTTATTAAAAGTATTATTTATCTCAATTCATCTAGGATGTAATTATTAGAAGGTATTGTTTATTTCAATCAATTGAATTTTGGTTAAGATTAAATCAAATGATAATGATTAATTTAATTTAGGTGTAGATTGTT